TCTTTCCAACAAATATATAGCTGAAGATATCATAATTCCACATCCGATCCGACCCAGAGAGCAAAAACACCATGAGAGAAACCAGGTAAGGCAACAAAAATTATACAGTTTTCTTGATCTTCTCAATTACTACAAAATGCCATGCCCAGATCACCGAAAGACATAAGAATCTCGATTTAGAGATGAAACCGAAATCCGATCAAATCCAAACTCAATACGCAAACTTCGAAAACCTCTACCAATTCACCGAAAACTAGAGGAACGGAGATCGGATCCGGAAAATGGCCGAGAGAAGACTTACACGACGGTCAACTTTGGAGAGAATCAGATCGGAGAACGCCGGCGTCGCGAGGACAGCGATCGCCAACAGAAGTAACAGATCGGACCTCAAGTGCTTCATCCTTCACAGCTCCTCGTACCTATCTCTGGTCTATGCTAGAAGAACCATGACCTAAGAAGAGCGAAGACAAATTTTGACTTACGTTAGACCCGGTTTAAACCGGGTCGGAGTGACCCGCTTAAATGGGCTGAGATATTTAAACTAAGCCCATTTAATTGGGCTTATGGTAAGGGCCTTGATTATACGTGGCGAGTTATGATTGGTGAATATACTGTGAGCCGCGAACAGAGGATGATGGGGTAATCTTACCGCTAAACTAAACTAGGTGGGATTTTGGTTTTGGGTCTCTCTGGTTTGGTAACGTTTTTCTCGGGAAAATCGCTGAGAAAATGGAGACTTCTCTGAGGTATACGAGCAATTCCAGGTCTTTGAAGATCCATGCCAAGGAGAAGCTTCTTGTGAACTCGAGAACCCGCTTGCAGGTGAATAAATTCCATGGCAGCGACTTCTATTTTTCTGTTTTGTCTTCGAACCATTGATGCTATGGCGGATTTGAGCTCATGTTCCTTTCAACTGGTTCATTTCGCAATGTAAATTTTCTCTGGTTTCTGTCGGAATCTTTGTGTGACTGGTTTCTTCGTTGCTTCGGTTTCATTTCTCGACGAAATGCGTTACTAGACCTGGAAGCATTGAGCCTTGCGCCGAACTTCTCACGTGAATTTTCTAGGGTTTTGAGTTTTGGGAATTGTGGTTGATTTCGAATTACAAACGGAGAGTTTGTATATAGTAGTACCCATTTTGTAATTTTCATTTTAAATATCGAAATTCTGCTCCAATTTTGAAACATCTTTTGGAGTACGAAACTTAACTTGATCGAAGGGAGTAGTTCATCTCCATGTCGGAGTCACCGCGTGGAATGCAGGTTTAAGTTTGTGCCTTCACTTATCAGCTACTAACTTTTGGATTCTGAGAGTGACATTTAGTGTGGGTTTATATGCTTAAAAGTAGTTTGGATACTTGTCATGGTTAATGTCAACACAGACAGAGAAGCTATTCCTTGTCTGATCCCGTGTCATAATCGAAGTTCTTGTTCTCTTAAACTAGTTTGCCTAAAGCTGTAGCCACAAGACTGGACCTTGATTTGATTTTCCATGAATGTGTGTTACTGTTTTTGTTCTTACCCGATTCATCGGTTTCTCTCTCTCAGCTTCATGGAGAGCTCGATACAGGAACCGGTGCCCCGAGCTACTTTTGCGCAATGATAAGATATTTTAACCCCGAGGTCCTATCTCTGCTCCATCTTTCTGTTTTGAAGATTGATCCGGAAATGATTCTAAGGTAGACTGTAACAGTTCTTGAAATTATCCATAGGCTTTGACGATTCTTGGATTGGGATTGCATTACAATAAACGAGAAAAGCTCCGGTGTCTTGTACGTGGGAAGATGGAGTTTCCCGTTAGAACGGGTGTGCCTGTAACATTCAATGTCAAAGGCCGATGTGATTTTGACCAGGAATTCAATCAGGTTTTGCCTCCTTCTCTCTGGCTATAATGATTTGTCTTGGCAGTTATTATGATCCTTCAATGGAGGGTTGTTGCCATTTTTTGTGTGGCAGAGGAACCCGAAAGGAGCTGCGGAATTTGCATGGAGTGTAATGAATTTTCAGGAAGATCAAAGTGTTCGGCTCAAAGTTGGGTACGAAATATTCGAGAAGGTACCACCTCTTGTAACTCTCCTTTTAACAAATTTGATCCATTTGCTTGCTTCAGGATATTGATTTTCGAACTTGCTTAGCAGCTCTTGTTCTTCTTCTTCTTCCATGGGTTTAAAATCACGTTTAATGTTCATCACCCGCTATCTAAAAAGATTCTATGATGTTTTTCTCAACCGATGTGCACAAGAGACCTCTGATGTAGGGCTGGGCAAAAGAACCCGAATTTTGGGTACCCAAAAGTTTAGGTATCCGATCACTATATGAGATTATAACGAGAAGAAAATCCGAACATCGGGTTTGAGTTCGGATAATTGGATTTGAGATTGGTATTACTACCTATGGGTATCCGAATGAACATTTAAATGGAATTTTTACCCTAGTTTTTAGAGATATTACATACAAATTTAATGAAATTTCGGGTTCGGATTGAGTAAACCGGAAATTTTGGTTATCCGGTCTGAATCAACTCTTAATATATAATATTTATTTTTTTAAAAAATTGAAATTTCGTATTTAATTTCGAGACCTGAAAGTTCCGATTTTTGGGTATTCGACTAGAATTCAATGGATCCAAAACCGGGTAATATCTTGTGAGATCCAAGACAACGTTCGGGTTCGGATTCGGATAACTCGAAAGTCTCGGTTCCCGTCCCTACTCCGAGGGAAGGTTTTAGAATGTATTTGAATTGGATCAGCTTCTCAAGAGGATATTCTTGGGTTAGACGTCCATGCATCATGCATATGCTTTGTTTCATGAAAGGTTTGCAGCCATAAACCATTTGTTAATGTATCTATTTCAGGTCCCATATATGCAGATCAGAGAAAATAATTGGACCCTTAACGCAAACATGAAAGGAAGATGGAACCTGAGGTATGACCTGTGAAATGAAATGAGGAGCATAACACATTTTTATTTTCATCAATTTTTATATAAAAAAAAAAACAGTTTATTTCTTTGAAATGGCCAAAGTCAGAGATCTTTCATCATAATGGGAACTTAGTTCCTTTTGCCATTGATTTGTACTGAAAACCCAAAACAAAAACTCTCAACTACAAATCCATGGATCCATGGTGTTGCCAAGATTGTAGTCAAATATAATCTTTAATGATAATTAATGAAAAGGGCCAATAATTAATTTGGGCAAACAATTTAACCGTATAATTGGCGATTTAAAATGTCTTAGTCAAAGTCTGCATTTGTTACAAATGACATTAGTCTCGGTGATGAATTATAGCATTGAACTGATTTCCAGACATATCTGAACCAAATCGGTTTAAATAGAATGATTACCAAAATCAACAAGTTCTTTCACACATACACACACATGTGTATATATATAATCAAAGATCTTTAAATCTGAGAATGGGGTCAGCTCAGATTTGCTTATGATCTGATCAATGGCACACAATATATTAGATTTCCAGTTTCTGGTAATGGACCGACACATCGTTTTCATGAAGACATGACAAATTACATTTAGTTGGCTTTATTGGTGTGGATTTGCTCCACGTGATCTTCGTTCATGCTTTTTTTTCTTCTTCTTCTTATTTTCCGTTTTGTATTGTAAAGTTGTTTTCAGAGATTTTGTTACAATTATCGTAACCATTTGACAGAAATAAAATTAGTTCTAATTATTTAAAAGAATTTACAAAAAATTAATGAAAAATAGTATTGATTTTTTTTCCAATAAATTAAATTATTTTTTCTAATTTTTCATCGAATCAATAATGTCTCAATAAAAATTTGCAGGGTCGAATCGATATATATATTGCCGAATTTTCATACATTTTACCGAATTCTCATACATTTTAAAATATTGGTTCTATTCAGATCTTTGGACATTTTACCGAATTCTCATACACATGTCAAATTAGAGTAAAATTAACGGAGATTGCAAAAATATTATTTGTATTTTTTTTATAAATTTATATATTAATACATTATTTCCTTCTAAAACATAATTTCCTATCTTTCTTTTTATTTTAATGAAAAAACGCATGATACTAAAATATTACTTTTCTATAACACACACACACACACACATATATATATATATATATATATATATATAATCGACAATATTTTTTTTATAACTGAATTGTTTACTATTGCGTACTTTGTTGGTTTTTGCATTCATTCTCATCTATACGGTGTCTTGGATAAGTATTTGTCATTTAGACCTATAATGAGAAGAAAAAAAACTATATTGGGATTGATCTTATCTTAAAATTAAAATACTTTTTCCCTATATTGAATTTGGTCACTATCCCAATTCCTTTTTTTAGTGCAATAATGTTGTTTGGGTTTGAGGTTATATACTTATATTATTCCACAAATATATATATATATATATATATATATAATATACTTGCTTATGCTGAATCTTTAAGTATGCTCTCATACGTGTGTATCTTCTAGTGCATGCATGCAGGATACGTTTACACGATAAGAATTTCACTTGCATATTAAAGCCTAAACATTTATCACAATATTTCATTTACGGATTAAAGCTTTTGTTACGGTTTTCTAACGATAAATTTTGAATTTGTGATTTGCGAGTCGTAATCAATAATCAACTTGAGACCATTAAAATATTTCAAAAATAAATAAATAAATAAAATGCTTTGCCATATCTCAAGGGTCATCATAGGTACAATCATGTTTCTGCAATAGGTTAGTCACTAAGTTTTGTTTTTTCCAATATAGGCAAGCACTTAAATATTCGAAATACAATCATTTAAATTATTAAAAAAAAATTGTTAACTAATTTTTAAAATTAACAAAAGTGGATTAGATAGTAGAATCTACAATGGATGGTTGAAGTGAATTTGGTATCAAATGTTGCACTACCCCTTCTTTACCATGGCATATTTTCTTCACTAAGACTCCACCTTTCTTCATTTCATTTTATATTTCATAGGTTCTAACCAATTTATAACCATCCATTATTATTTTTTTTCTTTATTTAGTTTAGAGAATATATGCTTTTTATATTGTTTCTAGAACAAATCCATACGGGTGTTTTGACTGCGTCTCATACACATCAAATTCCGCTACAACATAGATAGTAGATACCATAGATACGTTAGTTAATTACACAATTCAATCGTTAATCATAATTTGATTTCTTTAAAATCAATCTTAGTTATAAAATTAGCTCACGGCTGTTTAATTCCTTTGAATAATGTGAATTTCCCTAAGAATTATAGAAAATTCGACAGAGTGAATCTTCGGTTGTTGCCTGTTTTTATATTCTTGTTTGGTTTCAATTGTCCAAAGAAGGTATCGTCGCATCACTAATTCCATAGACATGCAAACATATATATGCATATAGACGCATATATACTAAACTCTAATATAGTCTATAACAAATCTCTAAAAAATTAATGTAAATATTATGTAAATAAACCATAATCTTTAACAAAAAATTTCATTATTTTTTATAATGCAAACATTATAAAACCCATTGGAATCAAATAGTCTAGTCTAACACTTTTTCACAATTATATATATATTAAAAACAATATCCAACATCATGTCATCAGAATTCGAAACATAAAATTAGTTTAAAAATACAAAATAACCAAACTATATAACATTATATATATGCATGAATATATTCGTTTTTTTTAGTGTATGTATATTCGTTTAACAGATGGTTAATTATTGCTATTTGATTGTGTAATTCAAAGGTAATAGTTATCCTTTAGTTACCGGGAAATCATTGAGTGTTAATTCGAGCTTAAACAGAGAAAAACGACAATTAAAATGGAAAAAAGAGAAATAATGTACATTTACAAAAATAACCTTAAGAGATGGCGATATTTATATTACAATGCCAACGGACTTCTCTCTATAAAGCCCCCAAATCCTCAACTGTCCAAAGAACACTTCAGGACTCTAATAAACCTTCCTTGCCCCATTTCTTCTATTTTTCAATTATTAACTCTCTCCCTCTCTCCCTCTCCCTCTCCAATGGCGCGACTTCTCGGCGAAGCCAGCTCTCCGACGCCGGCGAACAGCTCCGACGCGACGGATTCCGATCTCGTCGTCATCCTGGCCGCTCTTCTCTGCGCTTTGGTATGCGTCCTCGGCCTCATCGCCGTCTCCCGGTGCGCTTGGCTCCGCCGTCTCTCCGCCTCTGGTCCTTCTGGACAGTCTCCGCCTCCACCGCCGGCGGCGTCGAATAAAGGGCTGAAGAAGAATGTCCTCCGATCTCTTCCGAAGCTGACGTACTCCGTGGAGTCACCGGAGTCTGAGAAATTCGCCGAGTGCGCGATCTGCCTGTCGGAGTTCGTCTCCGGCGACGAGATTAGGGTTCTGCCGCAGTGCGGCCACGGATTCCACCTATCGTGTATCGACACGTGGCTTGGATCTCATTCATCATGCCCTTCCTGCCGTCAGATTTTGGTTGTTGCCAGGTGTCAGAAGTGTGGCGGTTTGCCCAGTAGCTCCGGTTCAGGATCCGGGTCTGAACCGGAAACCCGGTTCAAGCAACAAGAAGATGACCCCGGCACCTTCTTGCCATGATTTTCCAAATTTCACCATTTTATTTTATTTTTATCTTCGTCTATTATACGTATATAAGTTTAAAAATTATTCTTCCCATAATTTTAGAGGGTAAGGTTACAGTGTAATGTACATATTTTATTGTAAAGTTTTTATGTGATGAATTGAAATCAATAGATTAAAATGTTGTTAATGATTTGCATTTACCCACTTTTAATTTTCTTCTTCTGAAGTTTTGAGAAGTTCAACCCACAAATCCAAACTCACCTCATTGGCGTGGTGCGATTATTTTTCTCTTATTTTTAGACAATTTTATTTTTTAACATACAAAATCATTTTTTTATAATTTGTTCAACATGACTTTAATCCAGTTACATCTTTGAACGGAATCGATGAAATTCGTGTGAATACCTCTTTACGTTTTAATTTGAACCCGGGACAAAAACATATTTTGCATATTTTTTTTACAACTAGTTTACCATTACAAAATCATATTTATATTTATGTATACAAATAAATATAATGTTTATTTAATCACTCAAGATTGGATGACTCAATAAATTAAAATTCCTTTTCAACTCAGATTCAAGTCGTTATTTGGAGAGGAATATTCATTTTGATTTCTCCGATCCTCTGAAAAAATTTAATTGGATTAAAATTCCAATGAGTTTCTGAATTATCAAAAAATATATATATATTTAATGAAAATCAAATCCAAATAAATTACAATTTACTCAAAATATAACAAAAGTCAAGATGGATATTTTTTTATAAAATGGAAATATTAAACTAAAGAATAATGGAAGGCAAACCTAAATTACATGCACTTGTTTCTTTACCCCATTTTGTAAAATACTAAATAAAACGAGGAAATAGTAATTTCGGTGCACCACGTAATTCTAGGTTTAGCTGTTATCTAATTGCTATAGAGAGGAAAAATAAATCAGGGTTTTGTGGGAAACAGACAAATAATACCTAATTTAATTCGTATGTGTGCACAATTAGGTTATGATGTGGGAATATGCGGTGGAAATTAAGAATTTTAGTTCAAAGGAAACGAAATATAATTGTATTCATTAATGGCACTAATGAGAAATTTATGAAACATTCTCTATTAATTAAAGCAAACCCATAATCAATTAAGTTATCCGTAGCTATCTAATTACTCATTAATTCTATCAACCTTTTTTTGTTCATGTTTATCTCATTTTAAATTGCGGTGGAAATTTTATAGCCACTTATTATTCAATTTATTTTCAAATTATTCGCTTAGTTAAATTATGATATATACAATAAAGATACTATTTACGCTCTAATTTTCTTCTTATAGTGATATAAATTGTTTTTACAATGGCAGTTTAATAAATAAAAAAAGTATTATAAATGTTTTCTAAAGGTATAATTTGATTTCTGCATACAAAATCAAAATAAATTAAAAAATGAATTGAATCGAATAATAAAAACTATATTAAAATTAAATCTGATTTAAAATTATCGGTTATAATTTTTAAAAATAAATAAATTCAAACACAAAATCAATATAAAAATGAATAAAAAAATTATAAAACAATAACTTTTTAACGAAAACGAAATACGTAATCAACTAAAAATGTAACACTAAAACTAGAATGATATACATTTTTTTAAAATATAAAACTCTAAGACTAACAAAACCAAAATTCGAAATGTCGAATCTTCAATTTTGTATGAGAAAGGCAATACTATAAATTTTCTTAACAAGCACCATATTAGTATCACCACTTCACAAGAATTTATATTAACTTGCTGATTTTATATAGATTATGCTTAATTAAACAGAATATTCCATGAAAAAAAAATGGAAAAGGCGATTGGGCCGCTGTGCGTTGAACAATTGGCACGAGTTATGTATTGGCCGAGTTTTCTCTTTTTCATAAAATAACATAAAAAGCAAACTTAAGTGCCTGCTTCGATCCGAACCCTAATTTTTCTGTTCTATTAATTATTTCTAATATTTTAGAAAAATAACAACAAATAATTGTCTGTAATCCATTTTCTAGATACCCTTTCATAATTTTTTTTTCATAAATCTGAATTCAAAATACTCCTATTGGTAAATCGTAAAAAAACTTTTTTTTTTCTAAATTGAATCCGTTTATAAATATATATTCCACTGCTTGTTCAGTAAAAAAAATATAATTGGTCTATAAATACAAATAACAGATATATGGCATAAAGGATATCTCAAAATAATTTGAAAATTGACTAATAAATTAAATTAACAATATATATTTTATCATCCAATGGTTAAGAGATGACAAAATCATCTTCTAAATCTTGGGTTCAATTCCACTTATAGGAATTGATGTATCGAAGAACCATCCTTGATTATAAAAAAACAATATATATTTTATCCAATATTTGAATTTAAATCCTGAGTGTTAGAAAATTCAAATTACAATATATGGAATTAAATATGATTAGAATAGTGAAAATGAACACTAGAACGGTCTTAGTTATAGTCTTACAGCTTTGAGATCAAATATTGCAATTAAATACCGCATTGTGGACTATAATTTGATTAGATAGTAATCAATCCGTGAATCAATTAATTAAAAAATTAATAAAATTTAAGTGGACGGTATATATAAATTCCTTCCTTTCAGGAGCCGTTGAATAAAATACTCCACCATCTCTATATCCCATCATTCGCATTTCCACTACGGTCCATGTGCCCAAGTGCTAACCTTTCACACACACAATTATGAATATAAATGAATAAATTTCATAAATTAATTTATCTATGTTCCACTAAAAGTGGTAAAAACGAATAAGAAATCAGAAAATTATGTATGTGTGTGTGTATATATATATATATATATAACGTTGCTTATAAGATTTATATATATGAAATGTAAACACTTGATGGTTCGATTGTTTAAAAGTTCGATCTTTATATAAGCTGAGTTTGATCCCAAGTGGTATGAACTTTTAAGTATCTGAAAATAGTTTGAAGCATTAATCATAATTCATAAATTCTAACCATAGAAGTGATGGTCTTCGTAAGAAAATTAGATAATAAAATTAAAATATTGAATTTGTTCGATTATGTTTTATTAATATGAATACAAAAAGGTAATCTAAAAGTTAACATAGACAGCTCAACTTGTTTTTTTTTTAACCAGAAATTTAAATCCAGATTAAAAATGGAATAATATTTTAGATTAGACATTTATAGTTTATTGCGTTGATTCATGAACAACAAAGATTAATTTGAATATACAAAATTTAAAATATCGGTTCATACAAAAGAAATGTTTTTTTGCAAATGTACATAAAAAAAATTATACATACAAAAATAAAATTTTGAAAGAAAAAAAAAGCACAAGGAAAAAAGATGAAGATATTTGTCAAAGTATGAAACAAGAAGTTCCAAAAGCAAATGATTAGAGGCTATAAAGTTTACCAATGAGGCCGGAGATCCTCACTTTCCTGCTTTAATCATATTATGATTTTGGTTTTCAGTTGACCGTTTGAGATCATATTCTTTTTTTTTACAGAAAACAAATATATATATATATATATATA